TATATATAAAGTAGTCATATAAAGAGATAAAAAACGTAAAGATTTAATTCAAGTAAAATGTACTAAAGATGAAAATTAAAAAGTGTTTTTTTTTATGAGGGTATTCAACATAAGTGGGTGAGAATTTTTTATAAACTTTTTAATGAAGATTTTGAAAATATGATTCACTTTACTAATCTAAATAACATTAATGATATATATATATATATATATATATACACTTTCAAATTGCATCAGTGAGGAAAAAGTTGAAAAGACTTATGAAAATGAAGGGTGAAAAATTAATAGAATCTGATGGTATCCCAATAGTGGTGTGGAATTATTTATGAGATTTAGGGATTTCTTAGTTTACTACACTTTTTAGTATTATTTTAAAAAATAAAAGGATATTATAAGAGTGGAGGAAGAGTATTTTAGTCTCTATTTTTAAGAATAAAGGGGATGCACAAGAGCGTATAAATTATAGAGAAATTAAGTTAATGTACTATACATTAACATTATGATAGAGGATAATTGAACATAAGTTAATACATAATACAGAGATTTCTTAAAATCAGTTTGGATTTATGTCAGACAAATCTACTATGGAAGCTATTCATTTACTGAGAATTTTGTTGAAAAACTACAGACAGAGTAAGGATGATCTACAGATGATATTTGTTGATTAGAAAAAAACTTGATGATATGGTTCTAAAAGTTCTTTGGAGAATTCTAGAAAAAAAGGTGTTGTAGGACTTATATTCATATTATTAAATAAATGTATACTAGAGCTGTTACTTGTGTTCGAACAGAAGGATGATTGATCAAGTATAAATTATTTTAGTTGGATTACATCAGAGATCAACTTTAAGCTGATTTTTTATGGTTTAGTTATTGATGCTCTTACTAGACATTCACAGGAGGATGCACCTTGGTTTATGCTTTTTGATGATGATATCTTTCTTTTGGATAAGACTAGAGAAAGGGTTTGGGAAAAACTTAAATTATTGAGGTTAACTTTAGAGTTTAAAGGCCTTCGTTTGAGTAGATCTAAAATTGAATACATAGAATGTGCTTTTAGTACCAGTAGTAGATATAGTGATAGATTTGTAATAATGTGTGATCAAATTATTAAAAAGAGTGAATGTTTAGATATCTTATGTCTATTGTTCAAAGTGATGGCAATATAGATGAGGATGTTATTAGTAGAATTCAAGTTGGATGGTTGAAGTAGAGGATTTCATCAAGCATATTGTGTGATAGGAAATCATCATTTACACTTAAAAAGGAAGATTTTATAAGATGGTTGTGAGACTTGCAATGCCTTATGGTGCAAAATGTTGGCCTATAAAAGAAAAACGTAAAAATAAGTTTTCGAGATTAGAATTCTTAGGTGGATGAGTGGCTTCAAACCCATAGACAAAATGCGAAACGAATATATCCGTGAAAGGGTTGGTGTTGCTTCAGTGACATACAAGATTAAAGAGTCATATTAGATGGTTTGGTCACAATAAATGTCCATCATTTGATGATTCAATTAGGAGAGTAGATGTTTTAGTTTCAACTTATGTTAAGATAGATAGAGGTTGACCTAAAATGACTTGGGAATGTTGTATGTAACATGATATTAAATAATTAGATTTAAATTAAAATTTGGCTCAATAGTACATGATTGAAAAAAAGGATTCATGTAGCAAATCCATTTAGTGGGATATGGGCTCGTTGATGTTATTAAGATTCAGGGATAAATTCAAAGGCAGAGAGATCATATAATGTTCTTCAGACATTCAAATGATGGGAGAATAACTATACTATTTTTGTATGTGGATGATATTATTCTCATAATAAATGATGCATATGAGATGAACCATTTGAGGACTTCTCTATCATCTGTTTTTGGAACCAAGGACTTAAGGTCTATGAGTTATTTCTTTGCCATGGAGGTTGAAAGAAATTATTGTCTCCCAACAGAAGTATCTTCTTGATCCTCAAGGAAACTTGGATGAGTGGGTGTCAATATGTAGACACTCCAATTGATTCCAATTAGAAACCGGGAGATTAGAAGGAAGATGATTACAGTTAAGTATAAAAAATTGGTGGGGAAGTTCATATACTTTTCACATACACATCCTGCCATTTAGTTTGTTGTGAGTTTTGTAAATAAATTTATGCATTCACCCTATGAAAAACACATTAAAGCAGTCAACATAATTCTTAGATAACTAAAAGGTACACTAGGAAAAGGCTCCACACTAAAGTGCATAAATGCATACACTGATGTAGATTGGGCATGCTTAGTTATTGATAGGAGATCAACTTCTACATATTGTACCTGTGTGGGGAAATTTGGTTACATAACAAAATAAGAAACATCATGTGGTACAATGAGTAGTGTCGAGGCATAATATACTGTTATGACTTATGAAGTATGTGAGATTTTATGGTTGAAAAGAATTCTTGAAAACTTATAGATTCTAATAAGTATGCCAATGAAGTTACAATGTGACAATAAAACAACCATAAGCATTACAAAAAATCTAGTGCAGCAGGATCACACATGCCTTGTGGAGATTAACAAGCACTTCAGAAAAGAGAAGATTGATTGTGGAGCTATGTGAATGTCATTTATCCACACTACTCAACAAATAGCAAATATCTTCACCAAAGGACAGTTCAGGCCTAATTTTGAGCTCCTTATAAACAAGTTGGGCATGATAGATATAAAAGTTCCAACTTGGGGGGAGGGGGATTTTAATTTTACCATATTCTTTTATTAGTATTCTCTATTTCTAGAAGTTAGAATTATTAATATGTCAAAATTCTTGTTTTCTTTTATCATATGGAGTTATTATTGATTTTATTAGTTTCCTAATGTGGGTCATTGTTATTTATTTATCTTATAATCATTTTCTCTGAAATTAAATACGAATAACTATTTTCCCTCCAAAAAACCTACATTTTATTAAAAAAAAAAAAAAGATCTTCTTTGAGTTGTTCATTTGAAAGAAGGGAATGCAAGGGCCAACCCTTACTTTGAAAACCATATCAAGTATTAAATTAATCAATCTCATGATTTCATTTAAATAATTATTAACTCATATCCTAATAAAATCAATTCTAACAATATCTAAAAATTTGAACTCCATTGAAATTTTAATTTTTAAACATTTTCTATAGTCAATAATTTTAAAGGTAAGAATTGTTTGTGCAAAATAAAAAATTAAACAACTAATTAAACTAAACCTTTTTTAAGTTTCCTATGATTGGGCTAAACTTTTTGTTTCCTTGAATCCACAATTCATTCGATGGCCATATTGATGAAAAATAACCATGCAATTTCTGAATTTCAAGTTTTCTAAAACCATGTAACATGACATTAGTACCATTACTTGTCACAAGCCTCCTCTTGCTTCTCAAACCCATAAATACGAAAAATATAATAGAACCATTCTGCCAAAATGCCAACAAACCCAAACTTCAATAAATCCAACCTCATAAAAATCCTTAAAATATATATATAAACCAAGTAGGACCCAAATTCTAAACTTCATTGTAATACTTAAATCTAGTAATATGATTCGGTTTAATCCTTTTAGCTACACAAAATTTAGCCAATTTACAAACATAAAATCCTCCTAAACCAGACCAACCCCAACTCCGCGTAGACCTCAACCCAAATCCACTCGGTTTCATCGCCACCACACAAACCCCGGTGGCTCGCCTGAGTAAACCCCGAACCGGACCGGACCGCGGCCTAAACCGCGGGCACACTTCCCTAAACTCACTTCTTACGAAAAAATTATTCCATACAAATACCGTATGCAGAAATGCATACGATGACCAATCTCCACCGTTCATCACAACAAATATGTATTTTGGGCAGAGATCACCATATGGAATAAATTTTCCTCTTATGTGTCGTCTCCTTCCATTTATCTAGAATGGCTTCTGTAGATACATCATCACATCCTGAAACGAGTTCCCCCGCAGCAACGGCGAGAACATCCCGTCATCCATCGAGAACCCTCCGCCGCCGGCAGTGGCATCGTTGTTATTAATTCCAAGTCCGAGGGCTCTCTCCAGCTCCCCCCACTTGGGCTGGCTTTGCACCTCTCGCTCGCACGTGAAGTCCGGAGACAGCACGTGCTCCGAGCAGCTCGAATCCGCATGAAGCCTGGGAAGCGATTCCGACGTATCCAAGTATAACAGATCCGTATACTGCTGTTGCTGCTGCGTCGTTGGAGCCGACATCTGGAGCACGATCTCCGGCTTCTGTTCCGGCGTCTCCGGCGTCGCTGGCTGCCGGAAAATCCTCCCCACCGACGATTTCCGGTCCTCCCCCGCTCCGCCATGCTTCTCTATCGCGCCGCCCTTTTTGTTGTATATGCGGCACAGAACCCAATCGTCCAGCTGCAAGATAAACGCGACAAAGATCAATCGTCAGCAGAACAGCAGAACAGAAGTTTTGATCTGGACCACAAAAATATATTTTTTTATTTTAAAGTAGGACGGTCATGATCGAACACAAACACGCAATAATTTTTGGAGGAGAGGAACGCACCCGCAGGCTATTTTTTCTGCGTGCGGAGCGGTCGACGTCGGCGAGCCTGTACTCGTGCATGATCCAATTGGACTTCTCTCCCTTGGGCGCTTTGCCCGCGTAGAACACGAGCGCCTTCTTGATTGCCACCGCTTTGGGAGACCCGATCGGCTTATCGGCACCGGTCGCTTTCCAGTACCCCGAACCTGCCGCCCGGTTTGGCCTCGACCCGTTCGGGTACTTTCGTTCGCGCGGGGAAAAGAAGTACCATTCCTTCTCTCCATACAACGCTC